ATAATCTTTTGCAGTTCGAAATTTTCTTATAAATGGGTGGCCTAAAATTGTTGCAAATGAGTTACAATCGTTTTATCGTCTACGGGATGAACTGTCAATTTGGGATAATTTTTGTGTCTCTCGAGGTTGTCGTGCTGTGATTCCTGATAGTCTACAAGAAAGAGTTTTAACTATGGCTCACGAAGGACATCCAGGAATAGTTAAGATGAAACAACGTTGTCGTGAAACCGTATGGTGGACAGGCATGGATCATCAAATTGAAGATTTTGTAAAGAACTGTCAATCTTGTGCTTTAAGTGAAAAGTCACTTAGACCCGTTCAACCTCCTATTCAACCTATACCATGGCCTACATCTCCTTGGAAAGAAATTCAGATTGATATATTTGGAGAAGTTCAAGTCGCTCCTCAAGACTCTAGATTTTTATTTGTGATACATGATTTACATTCGAAATGGCCTGAAATAATCAAATGTTCTAGAATAACTTCAAAGGTGATCATTGACTCTTTGGAGAATTCATTTTCAAGATGGGGAATACCAGAAGTAATTATTACTGATAATGGACCACAGTTTATATCGTACGAGTTTGAAACTTATCTGAGATCACAAGGTATTAAACATAGACTTGCTGCTAGATATAATCCGATGTGTAATGGTGGTGTAGAACGCTTTAATAGAGTCATCAAAGAAGGTTTAAAAGCTCACTTACAAGATGGTAAACCTTTTGCAGAAGCTATACGTCTTATTCTTAGAACTTACAGAGCTACACCGCATTCCTTAACCAAGAAATCACCTTCAGAATTAATGATCGGAAGACAAATAAAACTACCTTTAGAAAATCTAAAACCTCCAGATCCGGTTCCTCCAGACATCGAAAGTAGATCACTTTATATCGCTTCAAGACAAGATAAGATGAAATCTTATGTTGACAAGAGGAGAAATGCCAGAGAAACGAATCTGAAAGTTGGTGATTACGTCAGAACAAAAAGACCGGTACAACGACATAAACTTCAGTCAACATTGTCTAATCCGAAATCTATTACTCAACGCCTAGGAAAGTCATCGTTTCGTTTAAGTGATGGTAGCTGTTGGAACGCAAGAAGATGTATACGCGCTTACCAAAACCACGATCACGAAGAAAATGATCAATATCCATTTTACCATAATTTCGATAATGTGCTACCAAATGACAATGTTCCTCCTGACATTCCAAATCAGAAC